AATAGGTCCTTCGGGGCATTGCTTGACCGACCATGCTAGATTACACATTACGAAACCGACGGGCACGATAGGAATCGGCATCTTCAACACGGCCGGTCATTCCTCCACAACGGCCGGCGCCGATTTCCCCAGGGGACCCGCCGCGCCAACCTCGTCTCTCCGATACCAGCACGAGAAACTCGAGACGACGGCGCGCACTAGAATTTTCCGTTTCCGATCACTTGGGTCCCGCAAGCCGACTTCTCATTCGCCTAGAACACGATATCCCGCCGCTCGTTCGGACTCTCTTATGCGGTAAGCAGGACAGACTTGCACGCAAACACACAGGCACATACACATGCACACACACAGACGGCGAGGGTAGTGAGTGCACCTTCACGCTCCCGCAAGACGCGGTCGAGAAACAGCAAACCAAACTCTGAATGGTATCATTGCCGATAGCTGTACGACTGTGTTTTAGGGGCCTCGGACGCGTGGGTGCAACTTGGACTTTCCTTTGGTTTACGGGTACTGGTGGACCGGCAACCTCCTCGCACGCTGGCAACCTCCTCAATGTACGGGCAGACCGCAAGAAACAAATTCCCGCCTCAGACCCGTGGGCCAAGGCATGCGAGGGCGAAGCTTGAGCCAAGACCCCAAAGTCAATCTGGGTTTCGTCAAAGGGGTGGTGGGATGGAGGGCGATGAAATGGCTCTGTGCACATGACGACCGCGGGTTGCCCGCGCCGTGAGGCTCTTGTGACGGACACCTCGCCGGCTGCCACGGATGTCGGGAGCTTCGGTGCGTGACAGCTCTCTATCCTCCCATCTCTTCCGGGACAACTCATCATCTTGATCAAATGATCACCGTCGCCGGTCAACGATTTACTCCGGAACCCCCGTTGATTGTTGAACGCGCAAGCGCGAGATTCGTCGTGCTCCTTTGTCCTGCTCCGATGACCCCGGAATGAATACATTCTGCCCTGAGCGTCTGTCGTCATACCTGCCGCCGAGTCAGGGCGTCTCCAGCCAGTTGATACACATCAAATTAACCCCCTCTTCCTCTCGACGCCCAACGAATGCTGATGACGACCTTACGGTCGGAAGGTCAGAAGAGAGAGAGACGAACAACTCAACGCCCACCATGAGCTCTTCGAAAACCCTCACGCCGCCGCTCGACGAAGGCTCGCCGCAGCTCAAGTTCTACAGAATGGAGCGTCCGACGGGACAGCTCTTCGAGCTCAAGGAGATGCAGAAGCAGCAGCTGACGGGGCTCGACGAGGCGGACGAGGTCCCTCCACCCCCTGGCCCTCCTCCATTGGCTCCTCCCCCTCCTCCCCCTCCCCCGCCCCCTTTTGAGAGCGCTGAGCGCGGGCTGCGAGAATTCAACTACAACGGACGAGACATCAAACCCCGCAATAGCGAACGCAGCTCTGGCGCCCTCGGCCGGCATCGTGTTAGCTTCTACTCTATCTACACCGACTATTCGTCTCATCCCTCTTCGGACGATGGTCGCCATGGTGACGACGGAGGACGTCGTGATGCCGTGAACACGGGCGGCGGTGGTGGGGGCGGAGGGAGTGTGCCGCAGGTCCAACATGTCGAGCATCCGCCGAGACGGAATCTGAGTATGAGGGCTGCGCCGCCGACGCATTCGAGAAGCACTTCCGGTAACAGTCGCAGCAGCGGCCGAGGTGGCGGCTTGGTCGTCTCGCAGCCGCCGCCGACCTATGCGCCCTCCCGGGAGTTGTACAACCGTGTGCGATTCGCAGAACAGGAGCGCATCCGCCGGGAGGAGTCGAGGGCACCGGGGCCGCGGCGCATCGAGATGGTCGACGTCGTGGGCGGTCCCAGTGTAGGTGCGATGTGGGTGTTTGCGTGCTGTTACTTCTTCTGGTATCGTTGTTTGATGGACGGCGAGGACTTTTGATGACGAAGTTGTTCTCGACGTCACGAACACCACCAGCTCCGAGCCCCTTTTCTTATTTCCTTTCTCTCTCCCCCTTATTCTCTTTCCGTCTCCTTCTCTGCTGGATGACTTCACCTCGGCCTTGAACCCAGGCATTTCGTCGCCAAGGGTGTAAGTCGGCAACGTGTATCTCTCCTCGTGATGAGACCGAGGATCATGGTCGCCTGCAGGACGGTGAACGACATGACGACGCGACGACCCCATGACGGAACGCCATTTTCTTTCCAACCTTCTCGAAGCCCACTCTCCAAAATCAAGTCGAAGGCGCCGTCATCTTCGTCCAGGTCGATTCAACGGTTGCGATTCGGTTTCGTTGATGCTCGGCCGGAGGGTTGTAAAACATGAGGGCGACACCACCTACGTCCTTTTTCAACAAGATCAAATGGAGAGGCAGACCAGCCCGTCGTTGCCTCTCAGCAAAAAAAGACCAACGATAACAACACAAAAAGACAGTGACAGAATCGGCATTTCTACCAGGTAACAGAAAGAAATGACCACAGGTTTGCGTATTATTTGGTTTTTTGGGATGTTTCTTCCAACTTGGTTCTCTTAGGTCCGGGAATATTGGGGAGTTTTGTTAATGGGACATTTGGGATATATGTCTTGTGTAACGATAGAACGGGATGCGCTTCGTCATGTGAGAAATGACTAGCGGAGCGGCCGTCCGGCTGTTCCGCGTGTACGGGTATATGAGGGAAATGGTCATGAGATAGCATATCATATATACAGGAACGCCGTCTTGCAATCATAATCCCTGTGCGAGGGGGGAAGGGGTGGCAGGCGTGAACCCCTCAAATCTGTGTGAATGCAAGTATTTGTGTTTTTTTTTTGGGGTTTCTGGTGTGCCGTGTCTGTCTCTGCATCTGAACTCTCTTTTGTCGCGGGGTTTTGACGGTTTCTGACATGGGTTCGTCCTGGCTTCTGGGTCCCGGAGTCGATGGTCCGACGATCTTATGCGCTGTTGGGAACTCCGGGAGGCCGGCCGGCCACCCCTCGACTGCTTACACGATGCATGGGTTTGTAGGAGAACCTGCGGAGAATTTTTGAGACAGTTTGCGTTGGATTTTCTGTTATGTGGTCTTTTTTCTGGGTACATGATATATTGGGAGGTATATCACGGGGCACCGGTTCTCGGGGGAACGAGCCCGTTCTTCTGTGGCCCGGTCTCGACAATCATCTTGCTTTGCTCCATGACGGACGAGGATTCTATTGTTCTCCGTATATAATGATATCTTGGTGGATTTCGGTGGATCGTCATCATGACGACAATTCGAATGTAGGGAAAGCTTGATGAAGGGCTTTTGTTAGTAACTTGAGAGGGAAATGAGGGGGATGTATCAGGCAATTCATGCCGTTCGACGCCGGTCCTCGATAAAGATTGGGGTTCCAACACTGGATGATTTCTAACGCCATGCATTGTCAGCGGTATTACGGAGCGGGGTGAAAACCTGATTTACTGCCGGCGGGTTGGAAATTGCTTACAGGAGCACGTCGCTTGTGCCGTCAGATTGGCGTTCTTCATAGGCATGGCCGCGTCACATCGACATCGAGAGCCAAGTGAGATTCTGGGCTATCTGGGATGAGATTCGAGCTATTCATCCAGTAGCAGGTTCTATGGCGTGACAATATGGCGTGACAAGAGCTCATCAGAGTCCAATAGCTCTCTCCCAGACGACCACTAACCTAGAAAATGACGCTGGCGGGAATGGAGTAGGCTGCATCTAAGTTTTCAACTACTCCAGCAGATCTTCACAGATTTGATTACCTACCGTCATCAAGATGCGAGTATTCAATCGGACAATCTAGCAGCTCTAGGCCAGGATACCTGGGGCATCCGTGTGGAAGAGGGTCGTTTGATGGGCACTTTGTATGCCGTCTGACAAGACCAAGAGGCCTTTTACGGTAGTTTGAGTATCCTTGCGAACCCGATAGAGTCAGATGTGACACGTTGCGTGTATAGATCTGTTCTTCTCTCCAGCGTCAACTTAAATAGGTAGCGTATGAGTGTTACCCATAAACTTCAGGGACCCCGGCTTCGACGGCCCTCTCTGACGTACGGAGGGGACCTCGTGGTGGCTGCATATAGAGGCTTGAACAGGCTCCCGAGACAAGATTTCGTGGGCTTCTCAATAATGATTTTCCGTCAACAGGTAGAGTTCATGACCAGTTGATGTTTAGAAGCAGGCTGCTAGTGAACAAGTATAAGTTTCAAGAAGGTCGACGTATGACGAGTTCAACACCAACCCGCGGAATGCATTGATGGTCGATTCCGCGCGAAGGCGAATGCAATCGATCAGCTTGGTAACACACGGTACAGTCCAGACTAGGGTTACGGATGTGACTTTCGCGACGGAGAGGTTGCGGACACATGCTAGAACAGAATCCCGGGTGTCATTCGTCCCTGTCTTGGGGCTTATATTGGGTCTTATTCAGTACAATACCCGGCGCACTTGCTAATCTGTTCTGCGCTACTTACTGGCCAATCTTCCTGCTACGAGCACCTAGCCTCTCACATAGGGGGCCTCGGTGTTCAAACATCTGAAAGAGTTCAAAGAAGGCTCGCAAATTCGGCTTGGAGACGACTTCAGAGCAAATACATGTCCCGGATTAAATACCAAGCATGCTGCCGATGCTCTATTTCCATCAGGGCGAAGAAGCAGGATGCAGTCCCAACCCGTTTACGTCGCATGAGACAAAGTAAAGGAGGGCTTCCTCGTCGAATGAGCTCTGAAATCAGCTAGTCACTACCAACTGGGATCTTTTCAAGTCACATAGGGACTCTTCGTTTGGCCAGCCAGTCTGTATTTACTGCCGGCTTGTTGCTCAGAACGGATAGAATAGATGTTGTTCTCCGCTAACTTGACATTGTAACACCACGCAGGCGGCTCAACACTTTGTCACGTTGCGGGAGACAACAACCCAAGCCACATTGTCGAGTCTCAGCTTAACTTCTAAGTCAACTTCAAGAGGTTCGGAAACCCCACAGGAAGGAGACGAGCCCCCCACTTGCGAGAACCTCACGTCGTCTCCCACCATAAACCCACCTCCCCATCATGACTCTTCATCAACTTGCCCGGCTAGCTCAATCGGTAGAGCGTGAGACTCTTAATCTCAAGGTTGTGGGTTCGACCCGTAAGCACCATCTGTTCCTGAACATACGTCGTCTGCATGTCTTCTAACATCATCACAGCCACGTCGGGCTCAATTCCCGTCCGCGATTGCAGCGCACACATCTCTTTTCCCTTTTTGCCTGTCCAGAGTTTCGTCAGACTCTTTAGTGTCTCCTGGGATACTAACCCCAGACACCTCTTCAAGTCACAATACTTCTGGTGCAGAGGGGTCAAAGGATTGAGGGACTTAACTTAGTAAACAAGCTATTCAGTTTGTTACTATGTTTTGCCCTGCCTTGTGTAATTCCCAACCTGTGCAACCTCTGCTCTGCGAATAACATAACAATATCTAGACCACTTGGGTGCTTTTAGAATCTGGTCTTTATTGTGTGCTGATAGCGCCCAACAGATGTTATTCAGATTTGCCCTCTTTATGCTCTTTAATTCCTTTCCCTCATGTGAGAAAGCACGCACGATCATTCAACAACGCATGCCGGGAGATAGAAGTCTGATTCAATGCCAAAGAAATCTATTCACAGACTGTGATGTGCTACTCCAACTAATCTCTCATGTACTCATACATTTTGTCTTTCGTCTAGTACCTTTCGCAGGTTGCCGCCTTCGGAATGGGCCAGAGCCTCAGCCCGTCCCATCTCCATCCCGGGTCAGCAGCGTAGTCTGCTCGCTCCCGGCGAACTTCCCAGAGACTATTACTGATGTGACGAGCTCTTGCGGATCCCGATGGCCAGCTTTCGGGCACAGGGGTGCCAACTGGAGCTACATCAGGCTCCTCACGCTTCTCATCAGCCATCAATTGGTCCTCCTGGGCAAACACGTCTTCCCATAACTGCTCTTGGCTGTTGTTGCTCACGATTCCTCCACTGCTATTCTCGCCAAAGGTATCTTCCCAGAGCTGATCCTATTTGCTCTCTCTCCAAGCAACAGCAAACGGCGTACCCTAGTTCTCTCCGTTGGTGGTCTCGGGAGCGGCCTCTTCAGCCGCGGGCACCGAGGTGGGCTCGAAATCCATCTCTTCGGGAGTGGGTGCGTCCTCAATATCGGCATACTCCTGCTCGGCGATTGCGGCCTCCTCAGCGGCCTTGGCCTTGGCAGCCTCGTCAATCTGCTTTTGCTTCTGGAGGCTGTTGTTGATCAACGGCGTGGTGTCGTTGAAAATACGCAAGAGCATCGCTGTGCGGTCGTCCTTGGGCAGCATGAGGTTGAGGGAGTGGATGCTCTTCCACAACGGGAGCGCAATACGCTCGCTGAAGGAGGCATCGGAGCCGTCGGGCTCAACCCGCAGCACGCAGCAGCCCATGCCAATGTCCCTGATGCGCTCTCCTATTTCGCCCATGGACTGCCACTCGCCGTCGGCGATACGGGGGAACATCTCGATGAGGAGCCTGCGGAGGGTCTCCTTGTTTGTGAGGCGGACGACGCGAGACTCGCCGACATAGCCCTGGAGGATGGGCATGCCTTCGGACTGGATTCTCCAGCGGCAGACCTCGGCAGACGGGGCGTCCTGCTTCATAAACATCTTGACGCCGCCGTGGATGACCTTGATGCCGCGACCCTCGTTCTCTTTGAGGATGTCGCGCGCCAGAGCAGAGGTGTAGTAGATGGCCTTGGCAGGCTCGCCGGCGGCGTTGCGCACCATGAAGCGGTCTTCTGGGAAACGAGAAGAGATGTGGTAGAATCCCTTGATGTGCTGGATGACCTCGTGCTTGGGGTCGAGGTACTTGTAGGGCTCCTCGACCTGGCCGTGGGCGTTGCGGTTGGACTTCTGGGGCTTGTTCTGCGACGCAAGCTTGGGCTTCTTCGCGTCTTGGGACTCGCCTTCAGCCGCCTCGTCGTCGCGCGGTCGCTTCGTGCCGTTTGTGGTATCCTGCGCGGGCTCCTCAGACGCAGCCTCGGCCGTCTCCTCAGTCTTCTCTTCAACCTTCTCGTCAGTCTTCTCGATCTTCTCTTCAGTGTTCTCCTCCGTCTTGGTTTCGGTGCCGTTCTCAGCCGCGGGTGTGACGGTCGCTCCGGTCCCATTTGAATCGGACTTCTGGTCCTCGGGACGAATCTTGAGCTCCGACTTCTTCTGCAGGACCGTAATGAAGAAAGCGCCGGTGTCCTGCTGGTGACCGTAGACTCTCATGCAACGCTCAAGGGGAAGGTTAGCGCAGACGCTGTCCTCCAAGGGAGGAAACATGGTCTCGGCAAGTCTGCCGGGGGCGATGCCATCGGTGCTGTTCTTGGTGAACTCATCGACTTCCGCCTGAGAGCTCCACAGCCTGCCAGACTTGTCCATGATCTGCCATTTGCGCATACCAGGGGCTCTGATGAGACCCTTCAGCTCGTTGCTGCAGTCAACGATCTCGACCTTGTCGGGGCCACCGCAGCGATCGATGGCAGCAGCGATAACGGATTCGTTCTCGACGGGGTTCATGGAGCAGGTAGAGTAGACAACACGGCCTCCGACCTTGAGCATGGCGAGGGCACGCAGCAGGATTCTGACTTGAGTAACGTGGAGACCGAGGGCATTTCCAGGCTGCCAATCCTTCCAGAGGTTCGCGTTCTTTCTCAGGGTGCCGTCGCCAGAGCAAGGAACGTCAGCCAAGATTCTGTCAAACTTGAGGTAGACGGGCTTGTTCGGGGTCGCGGGGTCCGAACGGAGCTTGATTGCCGGGTACTGCGTGGCGTCGTGGTTAGTGACGAGCAGGTTGGGTGATGAAATGCGCTTGAGCTGGTGAACAAGGAGGTGTCCGCGCTTGTAGTCGGCGTCGTTGGCGATCAGAATACCGGTGGCACGACCGTCATCCGAAGAGTCGGCTGCGAGATCAGCCTCACGCTCCTCCTCAGTCTCGTCGCCAAGGGCAAGTCCATCCTCCTTGGCGTAGGCGCGCAGGACCTTTCGGATTCTAGCCTCCTCGCCCTGGTGAATCATCTCAAGAAGCTGGCCGGCCTTGCTGCCGGGAGCGGCGCACATGTCCAGGACAGTCATGCCAGGACGAACGTCCATCAAAAGAGGAGGGATCATGCTGACGACCTCCTGTCTGCTCGTGTTGCCGACACTCGTCTCAGAGACCAAGAACTTCTGGAATGAGGAGAAGGGAGCATATTTGCGAATGACGTTCTTCGGGGTGGTCATCCACCAGGCGAGTTCATTGGGGTACCACTCGAGAGGCTTGGGGGGCTCGACAGCGCGACCGTCGGCGTGTTCGATCTTGACGATCTCGGGCATGTAACGTTCCTGGAAGAGCTTCTTCACGGTCAAGGCGTGGCTATATGGGAGTCAGTACGAAGTCCATGATCGATCTCAATTGAGTCACTGCGACGTACCCCTTGGAGCCGCAGAAACGGAAGCTGTTGGGGAGATCTCTGCGCAGCGCATCCCAGAAGGGACCCTGCTCCTCCTCGGACAGGCCGATGATGGTGTTGTAGTAGCGCTGAAGCCTCTCGTTCTTCTTGTCGACGGCCGGGTACGACTGCCACGACTCGCTGCGAGGCTGGCGGCCGCGGTCAGCACCGCCGCCGCGTCCCTTGCCCTTCTTGCCCTACCGCGCACGTCAGCACAATCAAACCTTCATTTCGACATTAAAAAGCTACCAACCTTGAACTTGCGACCCATGATGCAGGCTCTGTTGACGTGCGTGTGTTGTTGGTCGCGCGCGCACGTGTGTTGTGGGAGATGGAGTTCAGAGGTGAGACCGCAACAGCTGTCGCGCGGTAGGAAATTTTGCCGTCACTCAAACGAGACCGACAAAAAAAAAAAAAAAAAAAAAAAAAAAGAGTTGGAGGTTCGGGCGGTATGCGCCAGCCCCTCGATTTGGTAAAGATTGGCCAATCACAAGAGGCTAGGTGGGCTATCTTATCACCCCGCATTAGACCCCTGTCCCTCAGGGTCTCCCCCGGGCTTGTATCCGCTGAAGCACCTGAAAGACAGACAGACACAATGCAGCTCCTCAAAGTCAACAGCTCCATCAGCCAGCGGGGAGTTGCTTAGAAAAAGTCCACTTCGCACTGGAGACTTCATCTCATGGTGGAAACTCTGAGGCATACAGTGTCAAGTCTCAAAGCGTGAGCCTCAGCTCGACTGATCTGGCGAACACCTATGTGGTCACTGGAGTGTGCTCTGACGGCTTTACACGAAAGCTCCTGAAACCTCTGTAGCTCCGTGTTATCCGCGACGCAGCACCAGAGCTGTCGTTCGCCTCTTACCTCCGTGTACTTATACAGCTTGCAGATGATATATATATAATCATTAGCACGCGAGCACGTCTGTGTGTTGGCTGGCGTACAGAGACGTCCGGTCTGCTAATGCCTGGAAGCTGATTGGGTCCTGCTCGCAGCATGGAGTGGGCACCGAGGCAGTCGTTGGCAAGGATAGGCCTAACATCGATCGCCCAATGCGGGGTTGTTGCCTCGGGACCTGGGGAGCTTCTGTTACTACCTGCCGCCGTAGGTGCCTTAGTTTTCGACTACCTTATGCTAATGTTTCCCCCAACAAGAGCTTGTTTTGCCATCAGAACGTGGGAAACGGCAGCCGAATGCCAGCCGAGAGGTTGAGACATCCCCGCATGCGAGGATGCGTCCGCGCCTTTCGGCTCGACAAGGGCGCGAGCTGGAGGCGACTCGGGTTACTTAAATGCCATAGCTCTCTTGACTCCATTCTCGTCTAACCTGACAAGTAATGTTGCCCCTCAACTTTGTGACTTTGTAAACTTCACAACCCAGAATCATGGCCCCCGCATCAACTGTCAACCAGATCCCACAGGTGGACGCCACCGTCGCCTCTAATGGCAAGGCCAAAACGACCGTGGACAGAGGCTCAATGAAGCTCTCTTTGAACATGAAGCCAGTAAAGTACGACGACCCGTACCAGCAACGACAGCATCTCAAGGAGCGTCTCGCTTTGGGCTTCCGCATTTTCGCCAAGAACGGGTTTGACGCCGGCGTGGCTGGCCATATCACTGTTCGCGTGAGTTTGTCGGGTTCTCGCATCGCAACCTCTCTTCTGACAAGATGTATTAGGACCCAGTCGAGCCAGGGACCTTCTGGCTGAACCCATTCGGCGTTCCGTGGCCTCTACTCAAAGCATCTGACTTGATCCGGGTAGACGGGAACGGTGAAGTCGTCGAGGGCGGCCCTGTTAGACTGCTCAACACCGCCGGTTCGCCACTTTCTCAAACCACGCTACTACGAATAACGTACTAACACTTCCCAGCATACATGATCCACCACGCCGTCCACGAAGCCAGGCCCGAAATCAACTGCGTAGCCCATTCCCACTCTCTCTACGGCCAGGCCTTCTCCACCCTCGGCCGCAACCTCGACATCATCAGCCAAGACACGTGCGCCTTCTACAACGACGTCGTCTTGTACGACAATTTTGGCGGAATCGTGCTGGGCAAGGAGGAGGGCATCCGCATTGCAAAAGCGCTGGGCGACAAGAAGTCCGCCATCTTGCAGAACCACGGCCTCATCACCTGCGGCAAGTCGGTCGAGAGCTGCGTGTATTGGTTCCTCAGCCTGGAGCGCTGCTGCCACCAGCAGCTCCTCGCCGATGCCGCCGCGGGAGGGCGCGGTCACTTGACCACCAAGATTGAGCAGGAGGATGCTGAGTTCACATACAAGTCTATCGGTACCGAGATGGCGGGATGGTTTTCTGCGAAGCCGGCCTTCGATATGATGGAGCACGAGTCTGGAGTATCGTACAAAATGTAAAAAAAAGGGTTTACAACTAATGGGTGGCTTCTTTGTCTCATATTTCAAGAATGAAATCAGTCCAGGACTGGCGTTGAGTGGTTTTGTACAAATATGGTACAAGCGTGATGCATTTACTCATCAAGTAATCCTACAGTCCAGTGAACAATCCTGTCAACTCCCTGCCCATGAATGGCGCTTACGGGAATGACGGCGCAATTTTCCGTCCAGGTTCCCTTCTCAACGCCACTTGGGTGAGGAGCGGCACCGTTGTTGATTTGCTCAAGGTACTCCTTCAGTTGCCTGAAATTCTCCTGCGTCTCGGGAAGGTCGGCCTTGGTGGCAACCACGAACCAGGGCTTGGCTGTGATGTGTAGTCCCGACTCCTCCTTGGGAGTTTCAGGGGCATCGGCAATCATCATGTTGCCTCCGTATGGACGCTGGGTGTCGCCATTGGAAGCGAGGTCCCAATCGATACGAGAGTCGACCTCACGATCTCGCTCCTCCTCCTCGCGCATCTGGGCATAGAGGCCGACCTCCCTCCACAGAGCATCGAGCGCCTTCACGGCAGGCCCAGCGGAGAGGTCGATAACGAAAGCAAGCACCGCAGCTCGCTCGACATGACGCAAGAATTCCATGCCAAGTCCACGATCCAGATGGGCACCCTCGATGAGACCCGGAATATCAGCAACAGTGAAGCGAGTTCGCTGTTCAACCCGGACTTCTTCCTCGTGGTTGCCAGTTGAAGATGCAGCAGCGGGATAGCGCTTGTAACTCTTGATGACCGGTCGGCCCTTGTAGTTGTCCAACACGACGGTGCCAATGTTTGGCTGCAAAGTGGTGAAAGCCCAGTTTCCGACCCGAGTGCGCGAATTTGTAAGAGCCCGAAGCAGTGTGCTCTTGCCGGCGTTGGGCAAACCCACGAGACCAACGTCGGCGAGCAGCTTTAGCTCGAGTTCAATTTGCATCGTGACGGCTCGCTCGCCCTTTGTTGCGAAAATTGGCCTTGGAAATTCGCGAGATACAAAGTGCGGGTTGCCGAGACCGCCAACACCTCCGGTGGCAAGCAGAATCGGCTGCGGTGATGGGCGTGACAAGTCGATTTGGATAGGGCCAGGAGGCTGGCGGTAAAGTCGTTGACGGCGAGGGGCCTTTGGCAGAGCAATAGTCTTCAGGTCGGACTTGGACAGGCCTGGATATAGAAGCCACTTGTGACGCTCGGGATCCTCTGGCTCATCATCCTCCGGCTCGGGCTTCTTGGCCTTGCGTTCTTCTTCGATCAATCTATCCTCCTCAATCTCCTCGTCGGTCATCACCAGTTCTCTGCGCGCAAGCTCCTCTTCGCGCTCTCGCTTTGCACGCTTCTCGGCCTTTCTCTTCGCTCGCAATGCGCGCTGGAGGACCGCCTCCTCAGCAACGGGGTCTTCTCTCTCCAGCTCGCGCAAAACGGTACCGACGGGTACGGTGATGATGACATCCTCGCCCCGCTGGCCGCCCTTCGCGCTGCCTTGTCCAGTCTTCCCCCGCCCTGCGCGAATAAAGCGTCTCCTCGCTAGCTTGTGTAAAGAGGTCTCGCCGTGGACGGCTTGGATGTAAATGTTGCCTCCATGGCCTCCATCGCCGCCGTTTGGGGGACCGTCGGGAAGATATGCGTCGCGCATGAATGATATACACCCATGGCCACCAGGGCCAGCATAAAGGGCCAAGCTGGCCTTGTCGGCAAAATTGGGCGAGGCATAGTCGTCGGGGGCGGGGTTGAGTCGGCTCGATGGTGGTTCTTGGGCGACGTGGGTGGAGCTATGGCGGCGGGATGCGATAGTCCTCGTAGCGAGACGGGATGCGCTGGTGGCTCGGGAGACAAAAAAGGAGGGATATAGGAACGGAAGAAACAAAGAATGACTGCCAGAGCATCTCGACGCCATTGTCCCGAGCGAGCCAGCTAGAAGCCGATCGTGAAGAATTGGTCACCTGCAGTTGGCTGTCATGAAGCTTGGGAAATTTTGGGTTGCCGCGATAGGGCGATAAGATAAGAGATCTGTTGCCTTACATAAGGTGGCAGGGGGACGACATCTACCAAAGCAACCAAATCAATTTATTCGTGTTCGGAAATATTGCTGCATCACAGCGTTACCTTAGAACCTATTTCGATGAGAGGGTCGAACACGTCAGAATAGCGAACGAATTCACCGGCAGTATCTGCGTTTCTCAGTTGCAAATCAGCGTAGGCTGTCTGTTGGACGAAGGAGCCGCGGGCCCCAACAACCTTTGAATACCGCCATCCCATGCTCATGAATCGCTGGTTTCTGGCCGCGCCCGAGTCGATCGTGTGCTCGGAATTGGGCAAAGGACCATTGTTGTAGTGCAAAAGCAAGGGAACGCCGCAAATTCTGTCAGCAAGCGTTGCGAGACGGCGGTGGAAAGTTTCGAAGTCCGTCTCTGGAAGCTCGATGACAAGAGTGTTATAGATGACGGCCAGGCCGATGCAGTCGGGAACGAGTTCAAAGGCGAAGAAGTCGATGGCTTGCTGAGGAAGAGGTGCGCGGGACTTTATCATTGAAACAATGGTCTTGTCGATGTCGACTTCGTCTCCCCAGGCGAACTCTCCAAAGATCGGCGAAAACATACCGTCGTCCTCTGACCTCCAGACTGCGATCGCGTCAGCGATGGTAGAGGGGCAGTTATCCTCAGCGGGGGGTCCTCCACGGCACACGACCTCAATGAACGGAAGAGCCATCCCAATTTCAACAGCATGATACTTGGTGTGTAGATAGTATATGAGCGCATTCGTCTGTTCCGTGGTCAAATTCGTTTGGGCTAACCGTCCGTCGGATCCTTTGTAAGATAGACTCTCGATGTCAATACTTGGCGTAGGAATGACCGCATCATTGGCGTCGTCGTTTGCCGACTTCGTTACGTGAGACTACATGATACGCAACCTTTACACCGTAAGGTAGGTTCTTACATAATGTGGCGGGGGCGGGAGCAACCGACCGCGACTGGGATCAACTGGCGAACGACGCTGTCAGGCAGCCCACGCTTGTCGAAAGCCGTCATTTCCAGGCCAGCGTACTGCCTGGTTGCCTTGAGTTGCCTGCGTTGGAATAAGACATAAGACGAAGGGATCGGACGTCTTTTCAGCCTCTTGGACGTCTCTTCCACACCTCATGAACCACTGGTGGGCTTCGTACAGCTAACGCAACTTTAGCCGAATCGAAATGCACAGAAAAAGGACGATGCAGCTTACCCATGGCCACTTGCCACAGGTTCATCGCCTCGATGCACCGTAATCCGACAACTCTATCTGTTTCGGTGGGCATGCTTCACCAGCGGGCGGCAGGCTCTGGCAGCAGTCCAGCTGAGGGAGGTACATGGTCTCAAGATGCGGTGAGCGGGGGTCTGAGGTTCTGACAAGAGGGGTTGCAGATGCATCGACCACCGGCCGTTCCGCCAAACACCGGCGGCAAAGCCATGGACGGCGGCGATGGCCATGGCCATGGCGATGTTGATGGCGAACCAAGTGGTTGGTCTTTTCTTGCTGCGCGAGCTGAAGGGGATGGCAACAGTTTTGAGGCTCAATGGCTACGGCAATCTCCTCTTCGATGGTGGGCGAACAAATGGATTGGGCCCTCTGGGTTGCATCCATCCATCGCAGCAGCAGCGAGAGTCGTGCAGTGTCCCACTGTGCAGTGGTGCACCTGGTGTGTGTGTGAGGTGGAAATCCAGCCAGCCACCCCACCGCACCGCACCCCGTCCTGCCGGCCGTGTCGGCGTCTCGAAGGACCCAGGTCGGGCGGGTCTCACTGTCTGCCCCTCTCCGCTTTCTTTCCTCTTCGGTGGCTCCCGTTGGACAGAAGACGGCCAGCGGAAAGCAGGCTGGTGCTTGTCGCTCGCTTCTCGCCCAACCTCCCCTCCCCGCTTCACAGCAAACGCCCCGCGGCTTCTCTGCTTGAGGACGAGGTGTCTCCCAGTGGACAGTGGAGGTTGTCTTGCCTTGCTGCAGGACAGTAGGTCACAGGCGTCGGGTACATGCTACCTTACCTGACCTTACCTACAGACACAGTCTGGTCTACTGCGGCAGCAATTGGTTGTTGACCGCCTTGAAGCCCAAACCCAAACCAAAGGCGGAAACGGAGACGGCACCGGAGCCAGACTGGAGAAAAGCTGAAGCTGGGAGCCGAAAACTGAACGAGGGGCGAACAACGCACACATAATCGTCCCCATCCACTTCTCTCATTGCTCAGATCCAAACAGCTTGCTGCACCGCAACTCGCAACTCTTCAGAGTCTGTCTGGCTGCGGGTTTTTACCATTTCCTCGCCATCTATCGTCTCCCACCTCACCTCCCACAGACCGTATCGTATCTGCCAGCCCATTCTTCCCCCCTCCCATCCCACGAACCACGCAAGACGCACGCAGAGCCCGCCGCTTCGTTAGTGTCCGCCCAAGCAGCATCAGCATCAGCATCAGCATCAGCATCAGCACCAGCACCGGCACCAGCGCCGACACCAGCTCATCCCATTGGGACGCCGTTGGGCAAACGACGTCTGCTGCTTGCCACCCCTCCCATTGGGCCACTCTGCCCCCAGACTTGCATATTGCAACACGCTCGCATTCGAGCCACGACACTCTCTGCAGTCAAAAACCCCTTCCCATTCGATCTTCTCTTCATCTGCCTGCGCCCTCGTGGATCGAACTATCTTCTCCCCACGTCTCCTCCGCATCGTCTGTTTTTGTCTCGTCTCCCCTTCTCACTAGGAGCCGCCTGTGTCGTGCTTCCCGACTGCACTGCACCGCTCCGCACCGCACCGCAACGCACCGCTCCGGCAACGAGTACGACCACTTCTTGTTTGTTCCCTGCCTCGGTCCTCTCCATCCTATCCCCCGACCTTGGATCCCTTCTGCACTGCTCACTGCTACTGCTGCCACTATTGCTGCTTGCTGTCTGTCGTCTTGTTTCATGCTTCGAAGCTGCATGATACATCGCACCAACCGACAGTACCAACTCGCTTTATTCGTCCTAGTATTGTTTATTCCCAATTCCTTCCTTACCGCTGCCGACACGTCGGGTCCTTCATCTGTCACCATCCTCCCCTCTTAATAATAAGTCAGGTCAGTTCATCACCGCCTTCCTCTCTTCCTCCCATACTCCCTCTCTACTCCAACGCCCCATTGCAACCCCAACCCAGCATTTCTTTTCTCAAGAGACCCATGGTACGGGTCTCGAGGAAGAATGTCCATTGTACTATTAGTGGATGAACCATCTTGATCTCTTTGTACACTATCCTTACTCGGAACCTTGCCCCATCCGTCGACTATAGACCGTCGGCGTCCCAAAAGGGAACCCTCAGCTAAGATGTATACCAGAGAGAGAGATCATCACAGGCCGCGGACACCACGCACGCCTCGTCAGCGCAAAACCACAGTCAGGATGGACCCCGACTGCGCCATTTGCCATGCTCCTGCCACTCTGGCGTGCGATTGTGAGGCCAAGGGTCTTGATGTTGCCATTAAGCAGGCCGAGCATCGCATGATGAACACGATATACAACGAGATTCGGTAAGTATAAGGGGGAGCAATGCCGCAATTCCTCCAATCGCTGACTTGATCGCCAGTACTTGGGTTCGTGCCCATGCCCAAGACTACATCTTGGAGTATTTCCGCCTGCTCACTGAGCGCCGAAAGGCTGCTCACACCGCCAACCTCGAACGCATCACCGCCCAAGCCTACCACTACTACCACACCCAACCTCACCCCAACGAGATTGCCGAGGCACAAGCGAGCCTGAAGCGCGGTATCGACGAGGACTGGCAGTCCAGCGTTCAACGATATCCCGAGGTTTTGGAATACTTTTACAGTCTGGTAGACCTGACGCTCCCTCCCGATGACGATCCCACCGTCAAGGACCCTCCGTTGAGCGCCCTCAGCGGCTCTCGGAAGACCAGCCGGCGGATTCAGGTTGGTGGACGAGACATTCCGGCCATTGCAGGTGTCAGCTCGCACGAAAAGGACCCATTCGCACGAAGAACGCCGCCGCCATTCGAGCACCCACGAGGAATGGGCAGGAGAACACCGGCCCCAAGAGACCCTAGGGAAAACAGGAGATCCATGCCGCCCGCAGGCCCTCCTCCAGGAGGACCGCCCGGCCCCCCGGCACCTTTCGGCTCCAGAGGAATGCCTGGAATGGCAGGAATGGCGCCGCCGCCCGGTCCCGGCGCTTACTACGGCTACGGTGGCCAACCATACTAAAGGATTCACGCGCTGGATATTCCCCCGGAAGCAAAAAGGTCTTGCTTGTAATGATGTTTCATGAGATCCACGAACTGCATAAGCCTTCCCCCCCCCCCCTTTCCCGCGGCCTCGCCAGACTATTGCATTGCAGAAACGGTGCGGCACCACTCAGGGATGCCCCACCGCGGCGTTGTTGATACGTTTCTAGAGAGAGACAGAAATCGTGTTTCCGTTTCACCAGCTTTGTGTACTTGATTTTTCATGTTTCCTCTCCTATGTCATTTTCGGTAGGTTGGCGTCGGTGTACGGGCAACGGAAAGAGGGGAAACTTCCATTCATGGCTGGCATTCACGACGGCGCAGGCCGGATACCTCTTGTTTTTCTTCCACATTTACCATACTTTTGCGCTAGTATTCTATGACAGATGAAAACAGCCTCTCAGATATGCGGCGAGCTAGAGCAATCTACAAACATTTAAAAAGAAGTCTCACGGGGACGGTTGACCGTCTTCGTTCTCGACTTGTCTCTGAGCACTTACTTTCCTTCGGGTGAATCTGGGACATGACACACATCGTTGTATTGCCGTCGTGAACATGCGACTTCGTCACGTCCGCGAATCAAACAGACGTCATATGATCACACAACACATCTACACAACACGCGAGCAACCGAGGTTACCTAGACAGGACGCGAGTCAAATGAAGCGCAGAGACCGAAAGCTGTACCCGAAGAGAACGAAGGTCAGCTGTGAAGAGCATGTCACTCCACACACAGGTCAGCAGCATGTCAACGACAGCGGGGATTCTTTGCTTTTCTTCCCTTCCTCAAGGGTCATGTCCGACATGACGCACAAGCACACCTGCCCGACGCGAGCCCAAGAGGACGGACCAATGCCGGCAATTCGGCGTCGTGATAGGGTCGGCACAGAGCGCGGACTGCAGCCGTTGGTTTCGTCATGCATGCCAGACATGACAGCCTGGGTGGCAGGGGAGAGCTTCTTTTGTTTTACTTGCATTGCTGGCGTTGGTGGACGCGGGCTTTCAGACATGGTCGTGATTGGGACAGTTCGTGGGCAGTACAAGGTTTATCTCTGACCACTGATATTTGCTCTGGTGGGTTAATCTTGGGCAGCTAGGATACTCACGGTCCATCACATGACGGTATAAGAATGCCCCATCGTGTACAGGTTGAAAATAGCTTTTCTCTTTTCCTCTCATTTTGCCCTGGAACAGGGGGAGCTGCTAAGTACAAGAAAGCCCTCAAGGTCGGCGAGCAAGTGGGCTGGAAAGACGCAGAAAATCGCCACAGTTATAAAAAAAATGTTTGCGTCCCCGAGATCCGACTTTTTATGCAAGGGTAGGAGTTTTGGGTGTGTGTGTGTGTGTGTGTGTGTGTTCGTTTATCTTTATAGGTTTGGGCTATACGGGACCCTTGGGCTGACCGAATAGTCATGGGTGAGAGGAGTTTCTCAGTTCAGGCTCAGGCGGCGGTTTGGAGGGCGGTGATGGAAATCATGCCTTCTCCTCGACGGAGGTCTCCTTGAGGTCCTTGGTAACCTCCTCGACGCCGTCGCCGTTGCTGATGCCGTTGGCCTCATCGGCCTCGAGCTTCTCAAGCTGCTTCTTGGCCTTCTCAATGTTCTACAAAGCATGTTAGTGACATGAAGCCTGGTACGCATCATCCTTTGGGACTCACTCTTTGAGTCTGGGCCTCCTGGTCAGACTTCCAGTTGTCCAGCTTGGCCTTGACCTTTTCGACAACAGCAGGGACATCGGACTGGCTCATGGGAGGGTCGATGTTGAGGAAAGCGCAGTCCTCAACGACGGAGGGCGGGCAGTTGAACTTGCCGGCATCGGAGGCGGCGGCACCACCCTTCTTGCCCTTCTTACCCTTCTTCGCGGCGGGGAGGTAGTCCTCGTCACGGTCCTTCTTAGAGACGACCTTCATGCCCTTGATACCAGAGTCGTCGACGGTACGGCTAGCCTGAGCGCTGAGGCCGCTGTCGGCCAGCAGAGGAGCCTTCTCGGTCTTGTGGGAGGGATCGAGGAACTGGAGCAGGCTGTTGGCGCGGCGGATCTCCTCGAGGTATGCGGGGTCGCTGGCCTCGGCAAGGAACTTCTCGGCGTCGGCCTTCTTGCGGTCCTTGATGTACTTGTCGTGCTCGGCCTTTCTCCTCTCGCGAGCCTTCTCACGAGCCTCGCGCTCGTAGGCCTGGGCAGCCTTACGACCCTGGTAGAACTCGTCCTTGAGGGTCTTGACGACCTGGTACTTCTCGTTCTGGACGGCGTGGAGCTTGGTACGCTCGTCGCGGAGAGAAGAGAGGTTCTTGTAGGCCTCGTCGCCCTCGGCCTTGATGGCATCGAGCTCGGCCTGGATCTTGTTGTACTGCTCGCTCATGGCCTTGGCCTCCGGGTCGTCCATGGAGTCCTTGATCTCCTTGATCTTGGCCTTGAGGTCGTCAATCTGCTTCTGGGAGTCGTCAAACTGGGAGAAGTTCTTCCTGAGCTTGCGCAGGGAAGAGATCTCGGCAAGAGCCTTCTTCTCGTCGACGATCTTCATGGAACCAGAGTTGACCTGCGACTCGAGCTTCTCGATCTGGCGGTCGACCTCCTCAACGCTCTTAAAATTGACCTTGGACTTGGCGTTCTTCTGCTCGTTAATGCGAGAGCGCATCTGCTCATCGAGGCGCTTGATCTGGTCAAGCTTGCCGGTGCGGGCATTCTTGCCGGCGCCCTGCTTCTGGCGGATCTCGTTGAGCTGGGAGATGAGCTCCTGGCGACGCTTCTGGGTAGGAGAGGGCTGGTCCTTGTTCTTGTTCGGGGTAGCGAGGTCGATCTTGGCCTTGATGGCTTTCTGCGATTGAGAGGCTTGTGAGTAATCGCGACTTTAGACGGCATGTTTGCTTTTATGATATTGCCGTAAATTGGCTGCGCTACAATGCTGCGGCAAGGAAGAAGAGCTGCAGCAATTCGTCAACTGCAGGTTGTGTTTACATACCAGCTTGTCCTCAGCCTCCTTGAGCTCCTTCTCAGCAACGTTCAGCTTCTTCTTGAACTCGGCCTCATCAGGCATGGCCGGTCTGGTCTTCTGCTCGGCCTTCTCGGCCGCGGCAGCGGGTGCCTGCTTAGTGTCCGCCATTGTCGAAGATGTATAAGATGCCTGCCGTCCTGGGAAAAGGGACGATCAATTGGCAAAGGCCGGTGAATGCGCTCAGCTCTGGTCGTAAGGAGAGAGGTGTGGAAGAGGAGGAGGGGAATCGGGATGGGCGAGGGAGAAATAATGGGCCGCGCAAAGGTGAACTTTTGCGTGGTACCTTTGCAACGGGACCCTCAAATTTTGTTGAAATTCACCCATTTGGGTTCCGTGGCAGGTACTTTCCCTGCTAAGGCCACCTGCTTTCCGTGGACTCGACTGTGGGGTTTCTAGGCCACGTTGGCACGTGCGCCTTTACACCCTTCAGTGTTCTCAGTGCTTCGCTGGTGTCCATTCACAATGGACCCTGGAATGATCGGTGCAGGAAGCAAGAGGGCCCGTGGCTGGTGGTGGCTCGTGCACCTGCCAGCAGCCACCGGTCGGTCTGGGGTGTCTGTCAATCACCCTTGGATGGATGCGAGCTGTCTGGGTACGTACTTACTAGTACAGTTGTTCCGTCTAATGCTGTCTCGGATTATCTTCACCCTTCAACGACGGTATTTTTCCAGAAAAGCCCGGCTTCAGAGTGGGTGTTTTTTGGGCGCTCGGGCCCCACTTAGATTTTTCGCTGCAAGGCTGAAGTCGAACGCCAGAACTTTTTGGCTTTGCGACCGACGCCAGTCCTTTTTTCCAACCTCGACGTCGACCCTTCGCGATACCCAATCCCGTACCCCGACCGCCATCCACCATCTCGAATCTCAACACCATTCTTGGCCGCAAATATTCGATTCTAGCGGAGTAGTCGAACGCTGCCACAATGTCGGAGCAGAAGGATGTGAACAAGGAGGTCACCAGGTTGTGGCGAGCCTGGAGGACGGCACACGAGATGGCCGCGGATCGCGTACGACTACCCTCAATCGACTGCATGGGAGGTGGGAAAGCCGATGCTCTTTGAGCTTCAGGCATTCTCTCCGAAGCAGATGATTACTTCGCGTGCGTTACGACGGTGAAGCTGACGAAAGAGTGCAGGGTTACGAGCTGGCCGAGGAGGAACTCACAATCTCTCTTGACCGCTTCAAGATGGAGTACACCAGCGGTGACGGAAGCGTAAAGTGAGCGCGTCTCTTGTTTCCTTGCGCGCTTTCATCTTTGCTAACGCGTTACTGTGCAGCCGTGGCAAGCTCCAGTTCTCCGCCAACCCCTCTGCCGACATGATCCGCAAGTTCACCCCTCCGCCGACGTCCCAGAACCCCAACCCGACACCCGAGTGCGGCACCCTCTGGGTCGAGTTCCTTGCCGATACGACGTTTGGTATCAAGGAGATCAAGAAGTTCATCCACCACCTTATCAGCAACAAGTACTCGTCCGGCATCATGGTCACCCACGTGCCCCTGTCCCCCGCCGCGCGCAAGATGCTGGTCACCATAGAGTCGTTCGCCAAGGTCGAGTGCTTCCTGGAGGAGGACCTGCTGGTCAACATCACCAAGCACGAGCTCGTCCCCAGGCACATCCTGCTGAGCCGCGAGGAGAAGATTGCGCTGCTCAAGCGCTACCGCCTCAAGGAGACCCAGCTGCCCCGCATCTTGCAAAAGGACCCCGTCGCCAAGTACCTCGGTCTGAAGCGCGGCCAGGTCGTCAAGATCATCCGTAACTCCGAGACGGCCGGTCGCTATGCCAGTTACCGTTTGTGTGTATGAGCGGGCTGGTCAGTCAGCGTCGCGTCTACACACATAATTACGCCGCGTTACTGGCCGTGGCAGTTTGGAAAGCAGGGGAGGAGAGACAAGAAAGACCAGACGGAAAAGTGAGAGGCTTTCCGGAGGCGGGACGTGGCTCCTTACATGGGAGAATATCGCCCAGGGCCCGGGGAGGAGGAGCTTACTATATGCATCACTCGAGTTCGGCGTTGAGGGAACGGCTACGGTCTGCTGTTTTGTGTATGATCAAACCAAAAAAGAGGGCTTTCAACTAGAAGGACAATTATCAAACATATTATTTATCACGTCTTTTGGCTGCCCTCAAAGGCGAACTTGGTAAATGATCAGCACATGTCCACTAACCAGAGAGTATCGGCAAACGTGCTTGTCTTGTTTGCCCTGTATTTGATAGGCCAACAAACTCTTCAAACGTTTGCTTCGTCAGCGAGACCGTTTCCAGTCAACTCCCGTGGCGAACACGCAAGCCTCACCTGGGCCAACTTGATTTCGTGAGATGGTCGAACCTAGGCATCAGAGGAGATTATTCGCCGCGGAACTGCGCCTTGCAACAATTTGCATCCCTCAGAAGCGTGCCCAATCCCTTTTAACCTGATTCTAGTCGCATATAGCAGGAGTTTATGCAATGAATACCCACAAGTCTGTCAACGCAACGTGTAAAGCCACGCCTTCATTCGATCCGGGGGGGAACACCGGACGAACGCTGATATAATACATCCCAACCAAAAGCCAAGACAAGACAAGACAAGACAAACCCCCTTTTTAACTTAACCAACTGCCTTAATCTCACACAGGGGAAAAAGGCCATCACCACAAATGCCTTTCTGCACCAAGTCCCACGTTTCCGACGCGCCCGTTGACCAACAGGATACATCCCAAAAGACATTTCACACACACACACGTAGGCCCCGCTGTGCGAGAGAACCCCAACCCATGCGTCAATGCCAGAGAGCCCCTTTCCTCCCAAGCCTAACAGGGAGGAATGCTGCGACTTTGAAAGAAAGCAGCAGAAGATGAAGCATTCTGGCTCCACATACCTAACCTACAGGCTACCCGGCCCTCTCGACCGGATTTCGGCTGTCGGCTGAGGCAAAGATGGAACGGGGGCGGGCGAGACAACAGGGGAGATCGGGAAGCGGAAGCGGATAGATGAATGAGTGAGAGTGAGTCAGGGACCGACCGACCGAGAGATATCTATCCTCCGAGAGGAACTAGCCTCGAAAAACCGAGACCACGCGAAAAAGGAACCGGCACCGCAGGGCGACGGGGAAATAATAAAAAAAGTTAGACAGGAAGCAAGGTAAACTTTCAGGGGGCGCAGAGTCAGTCGTTGAAATTGGGTAGGGGATAGGCCAGAAGAAAGCAACGGTTGGTAGGCATGGCAAACGCAGGGACCAGGCTGGTTGCAGGATTAGCACGAGGTAAAACGGCATACATGGTTGCGGCGCGCGAGAGCGGAGTGTGCGAGACGAAAAAGCAGCACAGTGTTTGTTCGTCAACTGCGTCGTGATTATATTATATCTCTTGTTGATGTTGTAATAGTGAACAGGCTTTGCAGGACAAACATAATGGCGATTGTGCCGGGGTATATGTTAACGATAAATAACAGCAAGGAGAGCCGGCAGCTTTTGGCAATCGTCAAAAGAGGCAAAAACATGGCTCCTGTCTCGGTTGTCCTGGGTTTCCTCCTACTCCGAATATCCCGTCGTGATGATCATCTTTCCCAGAAAACAAAACGTGACGCGTCCAGCCCCTTCATGGTCCGAAATCAAACGCCACAGCAAGGTTCTAGAGACCTCTGTAACTCCAAGTGTGAAAATTCCAAAATTCCGTCAAGTCGTCATTGTACATGGGCATATGCTGCCTTGGCTGTAGTGATGCAGTGCAATTCGTCGCGATTAAGGTGGTGTGGTGAAACATGAATCGTCCGTAGTCGTGTCAAAAGCTACTTCAGTAAGCCGCCGGGGTCAATCAGCGTTGGCTCGCCGGGGCGTGGGTTATACGATGGGTGATCATCGTGAAGTGATTGCGGTATGGGTTGGAGTTCGGTGCCGCTCCTCGTCTTCTGCCTCGATTGCTTGGTATTGTTCGGCCCTAGGAGACCTCCGAGGTCTTGCAGAAGCGCTGTCGAGCCACGTCGCATACCAGTCGACGGGGCAGGGAGCGTGGGTGATGGTACTCCATGTCCCGGGGACGACTTTGGATCGATAGTTGAGACGAGACTGTCCCGACGATAGGTCGGCACGCCGAACTGGTCCTCAGACAGAAGCCCTCCCACATCAAAAAACGAAACTCTTCGCGGGGTGGTGGTTGAGTTACTTCGAGACGACGAGAGTTGGTCATGCGGCAATAGCGAGGCATCGCTGCGCTCGGCGTTACTGCGGCTGCGTTGAGGGAATTGCCAGTTCCGCAAGTCCTCGCCAAATGGCCTTGCGACGGGTGCAGGGGTGTACCGCGGGCTCTCCGGATCATACTCTTCGTCCGGCAGCTCTCTCAAATCAGGATCCACTCCAAGGCCAACGTCTCGCACCAAGTCTTCATCGCTGCCCCAATGCCGGTGAATGGTTGGCCGTCGCGAATCGGAGTTCCGATCCATCGAGTCAGCCGCAACTGAGCCGTACTTAAATTTCTGTTTCTTGATGCCTCGATCGCGTACGAACGAGCCTAGCACCAGGGCGTTCGCTGCTGTGGTCGCAAATAAGAGTTCCACGGATGCGAATACCGATCGTAGTTGTTGTTGTCCGTGCTCCCTGATGACGTGGGGGACCCGATAGATGGTGACGCCGATAACTGCCAAGCTGAGGGAGAAAAGCAGCGTAAGTTGGACCTTTCTCTTCAGACCCATCTGACTCCGCAAAATGATCGGGATAGGGAAAAAGACGAGCAGTGCATCGGTGAGGATGTTGCACGTCGCCATGGTGATGAGATGGGCGAATCCTTGGCGACACTGCCCGCCGGGGTCGGGAGTGACCTGCCAGTAGTGGTGGAAGGGCCTGCATTCTGCCAGGTCGCTGATGACGATGGCGATGAAGGTTGCGACCAGAGTACATCTGATGAAAACCAGAGTCTGTTCGTAAGAACGTGCCCAAGTGACGCCAGTGAGGCGCTTGAAGAACTCTAAAATAGTGTTCTTCAAAATCCACAATCTGCACAGACAAAGCGTTAGCAAGCCATCCTACCGTCTGAACGGTTCAAAAGTTGGTTCTCATCCAAGCGTTGCTGACTGGCAGAAAACGTGGCTGAAGACGTGCGGGCGGTTGGGAAATGACATACGTCGCTGCGTAAAAGATGCGGCTGGCGAGCACGAGACCACTCGCAATCTGCCTTCTGTGCTCATCTTCCGGGGACAAACCGTCAAACTGCGAGTTGTTGGTTCCGTAGAGTAGGACAAAATGCACGCAGACCATCCGGAGCCAAAGTGGGATGAGGGCGAGGGCAGCGACCTTGTCCTCTTGGAACAGCCTCTCGGTCCGAATGAAGCGGCCAGCAACCCGCAGCAAGATGATCATGGTGCAAAATGACGTTATCCACCAACAAACCAGTAACGACGGCTTGTCCTCGGAAAACTTGCGAAAGGGTGGCGGATCGGTGTAAAGAGCCATCGTGGACTCGTGCAATCCACGCTCGTCGACCTCCGCAGAGGGCACGACGAGCGGGGAGGAAGCTATGAGGTTGGAATTCGAGAGGCGGCGGCTCAAAGGGCGCAATCAGCTTTGTCGACTACTGGGCGAGGTAGTTGTCACAAGGGTATAGGTGGGCGACGATATTGCGGTAATGCGATTCGACGGTTGGCGGAACAGCGACGAGGTGCCGTCAAGGTGGGATGTGTATGTGTGCGCCTTGCAGTGACAGGTACGTCTGATGCATGAACTTTGCGGTTGTGAAGGGACGAACAGTGCAACATCAGTCAAATCGGACCCGGGCGCAAGTGAGGGCGTCGAGGGGACCAGGCGGAGAGCCGTCGAGACGGCGAGGGGTCTGGACGCTACCGGATGCTTGGGATTCTGTCAGAAAGACGGCCGACAAGTTCGTGGGTAGAGGTCGAAGTTGGTAAGGGAACATGGAGCGCGGTCTAGATAATGCGGAGGAGTGGGTGGAAGTAATACTTCAGCTGCACGCAGCAGACGACGCAGATAGAGGCAGTTCTCTGGTGAGGATACCGCCGCTATGCTAGCGGTCCAGGTGAGATGGGATAGGCTGGGCTGGGATGGCCAAGTTGGGGGGGCAGTCAAGGATACCCAGTGATGGTCCCTTTGCGCGCTAGGAATGATGGGGGGATTCGGGCCCTTGGGACTCGAGAGTGAGAGAGAGTCGAGGGGTGTGGGATAGAGTGACAGGGGACCAGGGAGGGTGTACGGTGATGGATTGATGGTGTGCATCAGCAGCTTTTCTTGGCTGGCCAATCCTGATCCTGTCGGTACGGGACTGGACTGGAGGTGCAGAGCAGAGCAGAGCAGAGCAGAGCAGAGCAGAGCAGAGGTTGGATGATGGGGTGGGCAGGCCAGACTGGCCGCGGACTCGATTCGACCAGTCCTGAGGGACGCGTTGGACATTTCGCAGTCGGCAGGGCCACGGCGAGCCAGTTATCAAATCAAAGAACAGTAACCAGCGAGAATGCACCCGATCAGCTTGCTGAGCCCTCAATTCCCTTGCCAGACACAGACAGCGGTCAAGTCACAGCCATCGCCGGACTGCCAACGTTGGCTGGGGGCGACGCTACTGTCCCAAGTGCCGCTGATTCGCCTGTCTGGAGGGGGTTTTGAGCTGGCTGGGAAGCTAATACCGCTAGTATGCCGAATAGCTTGCTTTGAACTGTTCTTCCCGCGGCAACGTCTCAGTTCGTTCGGTAACCCGACACAATGGTAAGAGGAGAATTCCGTGGCTCGACCTCAGCTCGTTGTCGACCTGGACCCCCCATCCACACGTGTAAGTGATTCACGTCGCGAGCCATGCGTGTCTGTCGTCTTGTGCCTGGCTGCAGT